GTGCCCATGGCAGGGCGGCATTTCTGGTGCTATTGGCTGGCACAGTGTCACACCACACCAGGGACAGGCCGTGGAGTGAGGCAGAGCCGGAGCAAGCAGTTTGGTTGCAAGGATGGTTGGGTTTGATGAGCGGGGTCTGATTGTGCCATCACCCTGCACAAGGCATGCAAGGGCTAAGGGGTACTCCAGAGCCATGGAGAGGGAACAGAGGATGATGAGAGGCAGCAAACAGGACTCTAGACTCCAAATGCCATCACTGCACTCCTCAAATACAGCCGGGTTTGGAGTGCAGCAAGGCCAGATAGGGCACAGAGCCCATCACTGCAGCTCAGGCCTTCCCCAGTGGAGAGGTGCAGAAGGATGGGTAGGCAACCCCCCAGGAGCTGGGAGCCCAGTAGCACCCCAGACACCCCATGCAGTGAAATAGCAGTGCAAACACAGCTGGCAACCCTCTTCCCTGGGCAGCAGCCCTTCCTGGTGAGGCTGTCCCACCCTGAGACTGGCAGCACTGGGGGTGCCCTGCAGCCTGCTGAAGTGCCTGCATGTGCAAGGGATGAGGATCTATATGCTCACACACACAAGCAACCACACACATGGTACTCGCACCCAAGACACAAGTTGCCTGTGCAAGGCTGCAGCTGTGTCCCAGTGCTGGGGCAGGCAGGACAGGGAGGGGACACGCACCATAATGGTTTCAAGCACCAGGGCCTGTCTGTATTTTGCTGTTTACATGCTGTTTCCAGGGCTCCAACTGCCCGGTGCTGCCCTGACTCACTCTGGGCTGGGGCTGAGCTGCTCACACCAGGGCAGGGACCTGATGCATTGTGAAGCAGCAGCAGCAGCAACACAAGGCAGCAGCAGTGCAAAGCAGTGCTGCCAGCAGAGCAAGGCACAACAGCTACCCCAGGGCTGGGGCACTGCCAGCCCCTTCACTGCACTGGGGATGTCTCCAGCTGACCAAGGAGTTGTGCCCAGTATAAAACCTCAGAAGATACTGCAGCCTGAACCATCCTGCCAGAGCAGGGCTCTGCTCATAGACCTCCTGGCACCCAGCAGCCTTAAACCCTCACCCAGACGCCATACCCACCATCCTAGAGATAGAGGGGGTCCCTTCTTCCCCTCTCCTACCTGCCCCCCTGGGGTCAACTCCAAGGTTGGCTGTACTCTAGGAGAGCACTGGGGCACCCTCAGCCCCCATCCAGCTCTGCGCAATCCAGCTGACACATTCTCTGATCCTCACACTGTGTTTCATGAACAGATCAATAATGTCTGTGGGAAGCAGCAGCAGAAAAACACCAAACAAAGCACAAAGCTGGGTGTGCAAAGGGCTCTGTGCAGCCCAAGAGCAGCCTCCTCCCTCCTCACACCCCTGGTCACAGGCATGGACCCAAGGACAAAGACCTCTAGGCTTAGGGCTTTTTTGTATCCAGCCCTTTGAAGGGAGCTCCTGCTCACATCACCAAAAGCCCAGCTTGGCTGTAGCAGAGCTGTCCAGGGGAAACTGATCCCCCTGGCAGGTTTGCAGCAGTGTCCTCACCAGCCCCATCCCAGCAAACCCCAGCCCCTTCCCCAGTGACCCACACCACCCCCTTCCTGGCCACAGACACACAGCTTGGGGTCATGTTTGTATAAAAAGTACAGTTTATTGCCATTTCTACCTAGATTTACACAACTGTGTCACCACTTCTGACGTCAAGAGAGACGTCCCGTCACTTCCCAGAGAGCTGGCCAGGGAAGGTGGGGAGCAGAGGCCAGCTCCCCCCAACCCAGCGGGCTAGAGTGCAGCCCCTGTCGTGGCTCTGCCCTGCAGTCAGTCCACATCCTCCCAGCACTGCTGCACAGCTCCAACGCAGTGGATGCCAGGGAGGGTGAATCTGTCGCCTCCTTCGTGCCACCTGCAGCCCTGGCCATCACATTACAGCTCCTCATGGCTCCAGCCCTGTCTGGAATGCCCCAGCTGCAGAGATGGGCATGGCTGGCCCAGGGCACCCCACAGCTTCGCAGGCACTGCTCCTGCATGTGTTTATACACAGGTACAGCCACAGAAGATGCCCAAACTAAATCAACCAAACTTCTTTCCTTGTAATCCCCACACTGATGTGCATACAGCCATGCACTATGCTGCAGCTGCCGCCACTGGCACTGCTCAGAGTCAGGTTGGGGTTCCAGCACACTCCGGGGTGGCTGGTGGGACAAGTCTGCATCGCTTGCTAAACAACGGTCTTCCTCCAACGTCAGGCTTTGCCAGAGAGAAGCATCCCCTGCACGGTGCAGAGGCATGGACGTTCCCTGCGTTCCCATTGATGTGCCAGCAGCTGCCTGGCACTGCCGGGGTGTCGCGACGCCCAAGTTTCAGCAGAGCCCGGGCCAGGCAGGCCATGAATGTGCCCTGGCACACAGCAGGTGGCTGGGTCTCCCCACGTAAGAGCATCCTGGTGCAGGCTGCGCCGCTGGCTCCACTGGCTGGCCAGGGTCACCCGGGGGGACACGGCTCCACGCCGGGGTCTGGCAGTCCTTCGTGTGAGATGAAGGCGGAAACAATTTGGCAGGAGATTAAGTAGAAAGAGTTCTGTGGCTCTGCCCACCCCGAGGACAGAGCCACCTTACACCGCAGAGCCCCCTGAGTGCTGAGCTGGGGCAGCTGCCCCAGGGTTCTGCTCCTCAGGGCACAGGACCTCGGTGGGGAGCTGGGACTGGAACTTCTCCAGCTGCTCAGGGCTGGCCAGGGTCTTCAGGAGGCTGTTTTCACGCTCCAGCTGGGAGTTCTTCTCCAGCAGTTCCTTGATTTGCTCTTTCAGGACCTCCACCTCCTCCCGCACCGCATACATCAGGTGATTTTTCACAAGATCCTGCAAACGGCCGTTGGAGGGACTGATCATCCACTGATCTCCTGATGGTTACGCCCTGGGGCTTGCACACGTCCTGCCACTAGCCAAGGGCCGCAAAGGCTTTTCCCAAAGGCTGTCCCTCCCCACCTTTAGCATTCTGGTGTAAACCTCCTGGCCAGCACCCATAGCAACCCTCAGGTCCCCCGTCTCCCAGGTCTCACTGCCCCGGAGGTGCTCTCCACTCCCCTCGGGGGTCGGGCAGGCTGCAGTTCCCTATCACCAATGGGACCCGGCTCGGTCACCTCCACACACCAGAGGATCCTACCCAGGCCCCCCCGGCTCCCTGCGCATTGCGGCGCTA